TTCAATGGACTGCAGGTCGGAGCTGGTGTTGTGACAGCTGGTTACCTGTGTGTGCACGCATGAAGACGTCTGGAGCAGATTTTTAACAAACATACACGGTAATTATGAATGGTTGCATTGATCACAGAACACAGACTGAAAAGTTCTTTGTTCAGCACTTTGAGTTGCCTTGTGTATGAATTGTGCTATACAAATAAACTTGCCTTGCCTTTGCAAAAATACGGAAATAATGTGCTTCATTATAGAGATATCTGCATTTATTTTGCCTTAAACTCCTCTTATTAAATGTAGCCAAACGTATTACTATATTAAACAGTATATGTATGATCAGAGTAGGATGAGACCAGGGTTAAAGCTGATAATCATAGCCCATAGATGACACATACTGTCAAAGAAGAGATGTAGAACTTTGTGGTAGATTTTTTTTCTCATGTGGATTGGCCCAGATATTAAGAAGATATTTCTAAACAAAGACTTTATCTGACTTTTGACACTTACTGTAGTTACCAAGAAAGATTCTTCAACTTCCTCCACCACAATTTTTAACTATAAGCTCTTTTTGGAATGTTGTGATCCCAGGAACTGCAAACTGTTATTACTATGTGCATAAAGTAGTTTTTCTCATTCCACAGAAAACAATATTTACACAGTCTACTGAAACTGTGTCTGAAATCAGAGCAACATTGTTCACGTTTAATTAATTGTGAATGTAATTATTTTTATATTTTGTACATTGAAAGTGTGCATTTATGTCCCAAAAGCCTTCTTTGGACAAGTGTTGAAAATTAGCATGGTCTTGCTTTAACACTAAAGGCATCTGGTGTGTCCAATGTAACCGTGTTGTGTCCATATGAAATAAAAAACTGCATCTTTAAAATGATATCATTGTCTATCTTGTATTTCTCACTGACTGTATTTCTGTGCACAGTCTTTGTCTCGATCCAGCCGTGGCTATGGCGTCTTCCCGGCTCAAGTACATGTCCCTGGGTGTGCTGGTGTTCCAGACCACGTCCCTTGTGCTCACCATGCGTTACTCTCGCACGCTGCAGTCGGACGGCCCGCGGTACCTGGCCTCCTCCGCTGTGGTGGTGGCCGAGCTGCTGAAGATCCTCACCTGCGTCATGCTCGTCTTCAAGGAGCACAGTGAGAACACCCACTGAAGTCTTATTTGTTCAACACCAATACTCACAAAGCTTAAGCATACAGAGCACACAAAATAATCTGACTGTATTTATCCACCTGATGCTTTACCTTAGCACTGACATGTTGGAACAGTAATGAGCTCTATGCACGCATCACTTCCGCGTTTTATTTAGAACCCCACTTGACTTCCTGTGCGCGGGGAACGGCTTGAGTTTCACTGGAGTTCAGCGGATGTTTACGAGAGTTTCCTAAATAATGCTCAAACGGGAATTAAACTTTGAGGATACTGGGCATTTTTGCGACACAGCAGTGCTCTTTGATTGTGCTGTCATTGTGTTTTTATAAACTTAACTAATCTCTCTGAGTGGCCACAAGCTCTACCTCAGAGAGAAAGCACGTCGACACTTTTGGGTCAGTCTCAGCTGAACGTATCAATCTAATTACCAAAAAACGTCACTACAACAACTCCCCTAAAAGCCATAGCGTTAGCACAGACAGGAAGTGAATTGTAAATAACTTTTCTATAATTTATTGTAAAAGCACTTTTGATCTTCACACATTCTTTACTGTAGCAGAAGAAGTCATTTCATGTCTGCAGTGTAAATGAAGGCGCCATACAACCAGAGAAAACAATAAAGCAGAGACAATGTTTGGCCAAGTTTGATCAAGTGAATTTTTTTTGTTGGGCCTAAAGGATTTAAAATGAGACGAAAGTAAAAGGAATGTAGGAGATGTAGTTGACTAATCGGAGCAATCGTTCCATTTCCCCAGAGATTGCGAGCAAACTGCGACTCAGAAAGAAAAATCTTATTATATCTGTGGTCACGATTTAAAACCTCAGGAGACAAAAACTCCTATTGTCTGCCTCCATCTTTACTGCCTTATTTCTGAGCTTGTGTCTGAGCTGAACTGAACTTTATAATTGCTTCTCGATGTATTGTACTCTAATAATAATACAAATTTAAAGCTAATCTATATTTTCAATGAGACTTATTTATAATGACATCATAACTGTGCGTGATTGTCCATTATGTTATTATACTCTATTCTATAATCTGAAGATTTTTGGGTTAGGAATGTACACTTTGTATCGTCTGGTCCCAAAATCATAAACAAAAGCCCATGATTCAGAACAATTCCAAAACTCTGGATTTAACATTGTTCAGAAGACTGCTGTTTAATCGTCCACCTCGACCACAGTGAGGAGCAAACAATTGAATCTGTTCTGGACAACTATCCATTTTGACAAATTAAGCGTCAAGTCCAACCCTGAGCAACAATAGCGTGAATATCCTTTCATTCTGTTTAAGTGCGTTGCTGAGCTTGAGATGGTGTCCGTGTAAAACCCTCCGTTGATGATGTGATGATATTTGTATTCGTCAGGCTACAGTATGCGAGCCCTGAACAGTATCCTCCGTCAAGAAATAGCGCACAAACCGATGGAGACGTTGAAGCTCGCCATCCCCTCGGGCATCTACACTCTCCAGAACAACCTGCTGTACGTGGCCCTGTCCAACCTGGATGCAGCCACTTATCAGGTAAGGCAAGTTTATTTGAATGGCCCAGTGAATACAAAACATGAAAACTTTAAACTCCTACACACAGAAAAAGCATGAATACTCTCACAGTACAATAACATGAGAATGGATTTAAATATCTGCATTTAAACATGGTCAAAGTAGAAGCCTTTATATTGTTTTGGTGCGGGTCATATTTAGATCGGCTTGATTGCAGTTTGTATCGTACACTGGCTCTATTCTCTGAGCCACAGAAGCCAGTGCAGAGACCTGAGAACTGGACTAGTGTGATTGTACTTTCTGATTCTAGTCAGATTCGAGCTGCAGAGCCGATTTCTCTGGACACAGCGCTTCTCTCTGGACACTGTGCTTCTCTCTCTGGACACTGTGCTTCTCTCTGGACACAGCGCTTCTCTCTGGACACTGCGCCTTCTCTCTGGACACAGCGCTTCTCTCTGGGACACAGGGCGCTTCTCTCTGGACACAGCGCTTCTCTCTGGACACAGCGCTTCTCTCTGGACACTGTGCTTCTCTCTCTGGACACAGCGCTTCTCTCTGGACACTGTGCTTCTCTCTGGACACAGCGCTTCTCTCTGGGACACTGTGCTTCTCTCCTCCTGGACACTGTGCTTCTCTCTGGACACTGTGCTTCTCTCTGGACACTGTGCTTCTCTCTGGACACTGTGCTTCTCTTTCTGGACACTGTGGCTTCTCTCCTGGACACTGTGCTTCTCTTCTGGACACTGTGCTTCTCTCTGGACACTGTGCTTCTCTCTGGACACTGTGCTTCTCTCTCTGGACACTGTGCTTCTCTCTCTGGACACTGTGCTTCTCTTTCTGGACACTTGTGCTTCTCTCTCTGGACACTGTGCTTCTCTCTCTGGACACTGTGCTTCTCTCTCTGGACACTTGCGCTTCGTCTCTGGACACTGTGCTTCTCTCTGGACACTGTGCTTCTCTCTCTGGACACTGTGCTTCTCTCTGGACACTGGTGCTTCTCTTCTGGACACTGTGCTCTCTCTCTGGACACTGTGCTTCTCTCTGGACACTGTGCTTCTCTCTCTGGACACTGTGCTTCTCTCTCTGGACACTGTGCTTCTCTCTCTCTGGACACTGTGCTTCTCTCTGGACACTGTGCGTCTCTCTGGACACTGTGCTTCCTCTCTGTACCTGTGCTTCTCTCTGTACCTGTGCTTCTCTCTGTACCTGTGCTTCTCTCTGTACCTGTGCTTCTCTCTGTACCTGTGCTTCTCTCTGTACCTGTGCTTCTCTCTGTACCTGTGCTTCTCTCTGTACCTGTGCTTCTCTCTGTACCTGTGCTTCTCTCTGTACCTGTGCTCTCTCTGTACCTGTGCTTCTCTCTGTACCTGTGCTTCTCTCTGTACCTTCTCTCTGTGTGCTTCTCTCTGTACCTGTGCTTCTCTCTGTACCTGTGCTTCTCTCTGTACCTGTGCTTCTCTCTGTACCTGTGCTTCTCTCTGTACCTGTGCTTCTCTCTGTACCTGTGCTTCTCTCTGTACCTGTGCTTCTCTCTGTACCTGTGTCCTGTGCTTCTCTCTGTACCTGTGCTGTGCTTCTCTCTGTACCTGTGCTTCTCTCTGTACCTGTGCTTCTCTCTCTGTACCTGTGCTTCTCTCTGTACCTGTGCTTCTCTCTGTACCTGTGCTTCTCTCTGTACCTGTGCTTCTCTCTCTCTGTACCTGTGCTTCTCTCTGTACCTGTGCTTCTCTCTGTACCTGTGCTTCTCTCTGTACCTGTGCTTCTGTCCTGTGCTTCCTCTCTGTACCTGTGCTTCTCTCTGTGCCTGTGCTTCTCTCTGTACCTGTGCTTCTCTCTGTACCTGTGCTTCTCTCTGTGCCTGTGCTTCTCTCTGTACCTGTGCTTCTCTCTGTGCCTGTGCTTCCTCTCTGTACCTGTGCTTCCTCTCTGTACCTGTGCTTCCTCTCTGTACCTGTGCTTCTCTCTGTACCTGTGCCTTCTCTCTGTACCTGTGCCTTCTCTCTGTACCTGTGTACCTTCCTTCTCTCTGTACCTGTGCTTCTCTCTGTACCTGTGCTTCTCTCTGTACCTGTGCTTCTCTCTGTACCTGTGCTTCTCTCTGTACCTGTGCTTCTCTCTGTGCCTGTGCTTCCTCTCTGTACCTGTGCTTCTCTCTGTGCCTGTGCTTCTCTCTGTGCCTGTGCTTCTCTCTGTACCTGTGCTTCCTCTCTGTACCTGTGCCTTCTCTCTGTACCTGTGCCTTCTCTCTGTACCTGTGCCTTCTCTCTGTACCTGTGCTTCCTCTCTGTACCTGTGCTTCTCTCTGTACCTGTGCTTCTCTCTGTACCTGTGCCTTCTCTCTGTACCTGTGCCTTCTCTCTGTACCTGTGCCTTCTCTCTGTACCTGTGCCTTCTCTCTGTACCTGTGCCTTCTCTCTGTACCTGTGCTTCCTCTCTGTACCTGTGCTTCCTCTCTGTACCTGTGCTCCTCTCTGTACCTGTGCTTCTCTCTGTGCCTGTGCTTCTCTCTGTGCCTGTGCCTTCTCTCTGTGCCTGTGCCTTCTCTCTGTACCTGTGCCTTCTCTCTGTACCTGTGCCTTCTCTCTGTACCTGTGCCTTCTCTCTGTACCTGTGCCTTCTCTCTGTACCTGTGCCTTCTCTCTGTACCTGTGCTTCCTCTCTGTACCTGTGCTTCCTCTCTGTACCTGTGCTTCCTCTCTGTACCTGTGCTTCTCTCTGTACCTGTGCTTCCTCTCTGTACCTGTGCCTTCTCTCTGTACCTGTGCCTTCTCTCTGTACCTGTGCTTCCTCTCTGTACCTGTGCTTCTCTCTGTACCTGTGCCTTCTCTCTGTACCTGTGCCTTCTCTCTGTACCTGTGCCTTCTCTCTGTACCTGTGCTTCCTCTCTGTGCCTGTGCTTCTCTCTGTACCTGTGCTTCTCTCTGTACCTGTGCCTTCTCTCTGTACCTGTGCTTCCTCTCTGTACCTGTGCTTCTCTCTGTACCTGTGCTTCCTCTCTGTGCCTGTGCTTCCTCTCTGTACCTGTGCCTTCTCTCTGTACCTGTGCCTTCTCTCTGTACCTGTGCCTTCTCTCTGTACCTGTGCTTCCTCTCTGTACCTGTGCTTCCTCTCTGTACCTGTGCTTCCTCTCTGTACCTGTGCTCCTCTCTGTACCTGTGCTTCTCTCTGTGCCTGTGCTTCTCTCTGTACCTGTGCCTTCTCTCTGTACCTGTGCCTTCTCTCTGTACCTGTGCCTTCTCTCTGTACCTGTGCTTCCTCTCTGTACCTGTGCTTCTCTCTGTACCTGTGCTTCTCTCTGTACCTGTGCTTCTCTCTGTACCTGTGCTTCTCTCTGTGCCTGTGCTTCCTCTCTGTACCTGTGCTTCTCTCTGTGCCTGTGCTTCTCTCTGTGCCTGTGCTTCTCTCTGTGCCTGTGCTTCCTCTCTGTACCTGTGCTTCCTCTCTGTACCTGTGCCTTCTCTCTGTACCTGTGCCTTCTCTCTGTACCTGTGCCTTCTCTCTGTACCTGTGCTTCCTCTCTGTACCTGTGCTTCTCTCTGTACCTGTGCTTCTCTCTGTACCTGTGCCTTCTCTCTGTACCTGTGCCTTCTCTCTGTACCTGTGCCTTCTCTCTGTACCTGTGCCTTCTCTCTGTACCTGTGCCTTCTCTCTGTACCTGTGCTTCCTCTCTGTACCTGTGCTTCCTCTCTGTACCTGTGCTCCTCTCTGTACCTGTGCTTCTCTCTGTGCCTGTGCTTCTCTCTGTGCCTGTGCCTTCTCTCTGTGCCTGTGCCTTCTCTCTGTACCTGTGCCTTCTCTCTGTACCTGTGCCTTCTCTCTGTACCTGTGCCTTCTCTCTGTACCTGTGCCTTCTCTCTGTACCTGTGCCTTCTCTCTGTACCTGTGCTTCCTCTCTGTACCTGTGCTTCCTCTCTGTACCTGTGCTTCCTCTCTGTACCTGTGCTTCTCTCTGTACCTGTGCTTCCTCTCTGTACCTGTGCCTTCTCTCTGTACCTGTGCCTTCTCTCTGTACCTGTGCTTCCTCTCTGTACCTGTGCTTCTCTCTGTACCTGTGCCTTCTCTCTGTACCTGTGCCTTCTCTCTGTACCTGTGCCTTCTCTCTGTACCTGTGCTTCCTCTCTGTGCCTGTGCTTCTCTCTGTACCTGTGCTTCTCTCTGTACCTGTGCCTTCTCTCTGTACCTGTGCTTCCTCTCTGTACCTGTGCTTCTCTCTGTACCTGTGCTTCCTCTCTGTGCCTGTGCTTCCTCTCTGTACCTGTGCCTTCTCTCTGTACCTGTGCCTTCTCTCTGTACCTGTGCCTTCTCTCTGTACCTGTGCTTCCTCTCTGTACCTGTGCTCCTCTCTGTACCTGTGCTCCTCTCTGTACCTGTGCTCCTCTCTGTACCTGTGCTCCTCTCTGTACCTGTGCTCCTCTCTGTACCTGTGCCTTCTCTCTGTACCTGTGCCTTCTCTCTGTACCTGTGCCTTCTCTCTGTACCTGTGCCTTCTCTCTGTACCTGTGCTTCCTCTCTGTACCTGTGCTTCCTCTCTGTACCTGTGCTTCTCTCTGTGCCTGTGCTTCTCTCTGTACCTGTGCTCCTCTCTGACCCTGTGCTCCTCTCTGTACCTGTGCTCCTCTCTGTACCTGTGCTCCTCTCTGACCCTGTGCTCCTCTCTGTACCTGTGCTTCCTCTCTGTACCTGTGCTCCTCTCTGTACCTGTGCTTCTCTCTGTGCCTGTGCTTCTCTCTGTGCCTGTGCCTTCTCTCTGTGCCTGTGCCTTCTCTCTGTACCTGTGCTTCCTCTCTGTACCTGTGCTTCTCTCTGTACCTGTGCTTCCTCTCTGTACCTGTGCTTCCTCTCTGTACCTGTGCCTTCTCTCTGTACCTGTGCTTCTCTCTGTACCTGTGCTTCCTCTCTGTACCTGTGCCTTCTCTCTGTACCTGTGCTTCCTCTCTGTACCTGTGCCTTCTCTCTGTACCTGTGCCTTCTCTCTGTACCTGTGCTTCCTCTCTGTACCTGTGCTTCCTCTCTGTACCTGTGCTTCTCTCTGTACCTGTGCTTCCTCTCTGTACCTGTGCTTCCTCTCTGTACCTCTGTCACTCTGACTCTCTCAGACCTGATCTTGTACGAGACGTGTGAGTTTCTGAGGTTTCACAGCGACCACAGACTCTGCACAAAGGGATTAAAATAGACTCAAAGGTACACTTTAAACTTTATAAACTGGTGTTGGGCTGAAGGTCGTGTGAACGGAAGTCAAGAACGCAACCACTTTAAAAAAATCCACCAAAATCTCTCTCTCTCTCTCTCTGGTCTCTCTCTGGTCTCTCCCTGGTCTCTCTCTCTCCCTGGTCTCTCTCTCTCTCTGGTCTCTCTCTGGTCTCTCTCTGGTCTCTCTCTGGTCTCTCTCTGGTCTCTCTCTGGTCTCTCTCTGGTCTCTCCCTGGTCTCTCTCTCTCTCTCTCTGGTCTCTCTCTCTCTCTCTCTGGTCTCTCCCTGGTCTCTCTCTCTCTCTGGTCTCTCTCTCTCTCTGGTCTCTCTCTGGTCTCTCTCTCTCTCTCTCTCTGGTCTCTCCCTGGTCTCTCTCTCTCTCTCTCTCTCTGGTCTCTCTCTGGTCTCTCTCTCTCTCTGGTCTCTCTCTGGTCTCTCTCTCTCTCTGGTCTCTCTCCTCTCTCTCTCTCTCTGGTCTCTCTCTGGTCTCTCTCTCTCTCTGGTCTCTCTCTCTCTGGTCTCTCTCTCTCTCTGGTCTCTCTCTCTCTCTGGTCTCTCTATCTCTGGTCTCTCTATCTCTGGTCTCTCTATCTCTGGTCTCTCTCTCTCTCTCTGGTCTCTCTCTGGTCTCTCTCTGGTCTCTCTCTCTCTGGTCTCTCTCTCTCTCTTTGGTCTCTCTCTCTCTCTCTGGTCTCTCTCTCTCTCTCTCTCTGGTCTCTCTCTCTCTCTCTCTCTCTGGTCTCTCTCTCTCTCTCTCTGGTCTCTCTCTCTCTCTCTCTCTGGTCTCTCTCTCTCTCTCTGGTCTCTCTCTCTCTCTCTGGTCTCTCTCTGGTCTCTCTCTGGTCTCTCTCTCTCTCTCTCTCTCTCTCTCTGGTCTCTCTCTCTCTGGTCTCTCTCTCTCTCTCTCTCTCTCTCTGGTCTCTCTCTGGTCTCTCTCTCTCTCTCTCTGGTCTCTCTCTCTCTCTGGTCTCTGAACATTCCAGAATAATGAACCGCCTCCTCCACTTCCTGTGAGCACGTCCCGGGACAGGAAGTGGTCTCTGCTCTGACATTTCAGACTCATTTTGTGACTCATTCTGCAAAGTGTAAATAAAGTCCGGTCCCCCAGTCCGGTCCCCCAGTCCGGTCCCCCAGTCCGGTCCCCCAGTCCGGTCCCCCAGTCCGGTCCCCCAGTCCGGTCCCCCAGTCCGGTCCCTTCAGACAGAGTTGAGCACATTCTCCCACATTGCTTACAGTATTGTCTGCGCTCTGTGACTGGCAGCCTGACCTCCTGCTGTCTGCCCCAGGACAGCTGTGGCTCCAGTACTTTCCCGTGTGACTGATCAGAGGCAGATGTTTTACATTCTCTCTGTTCTGTTTCTTCACACGGTCGTTTGTTTGAAGGAAAGTTCATACAGTGAACTCAAACATAAAAAAGGACAGAGACCTGAGACCAGGACTAATGTGAGAGGACTTCAGGACAGAGACCTGAGACCAGGACTAATGTGAGAGGACTTCAGGACAGAGACCTGAGACCAGGACTAATGTGAGAGGACTTCAGGACAGAGACCTGAGACCAGGACTAATGTGAGAGGACTTCAGGACAGAGACCTGAGACCAGGACTAATGTGAGAGGACTTCAGGACAGAGACCTGAGACCAGGACTAATGTGAGAGGACTTCAGGACAGAGACCTGAGACCAGGACCAATATGAGAGGACTTCAGGACAGAGACCTGAGACCAGGACTAATGTGAGAGGACTTCAGGACACAGACCTGAGACCAGGACTAATGTGAGAGGACTTCAGGACAGAGACCTGAGACCAGGACTAATGTGAGAGGACTTCAGGACAGAGACCTGAGACCAGGACTAATGTGAGAGGACTTCAGGACAGAGACCTGAGACCAGGACTAATGTGAGAGGACTTCAGGACAGAGACCTGAGACCAGGACTAATGTGAGAGGACTTCAGGACAGAGACCTGAGACCAGGACTAATGTGAGAGGACTTCAGGACAGAGACCTGAGACCAGGACTAATGTGAGAGGACTTCAGGACAGAGACCTGAGACCAGGACTAATGTGAGAGGACTTCAGGACAGAGACCTGAGACCAGGACTAATGTGAGAGGACTTCAGGACAGAGACCTGAGACCAGGACTAATGTGTGTAATGTTCTTGGTTCTAGTCGAGACCCTCTGCAGTGTTTTGTGTGATATAAATGATGTGGTCTGTCTGCTGCAGATCCCTCATATGGTCTTCACCCCCTCCCTCCCCCTCACCCCCCCCCCACCCCCAGGAGTCCTACACATTCTGATGACAAATACCATAAATAGGCCAATTTCCAGTGTTTGAGTTTGAGGCTGCGTAAAGGGGCGGTGCTCTGCCCATTGTCCAAAGTGAAAGGCTTCTTTGTGCCCGGTCCACACTGAGGGGTGGGGGGGGGGCAGTGTCATGTTGTAGTACATCACAAGAGTTTACATAAAGATCAGAGCAAACAGACATTTTTATATGTGATGGATGAGTTACAGTTGGACTTTAGTGCACAGTGCAATGGACCTCTGACCTTTGACCCCTGACCTTTGACAACTGACCCTTAACCTGACCTCTGTCCTCTGTCCTCCAGACCTTCACAGCCTGGTGTAACTCCCACCTCAGGAAGATGGGCGTTCAGATCGAGAACATCGAGGAGGACTTCAGAGACGGCCTGAAGCTCATGCTGCTGCTGGAGGTGATCTCAGGTAAGGTCTCCCATCACAGTACTAACCAGGCCCTACCCTGCTTAGCTTCAGAGGTGGTGCCACTGAAAGTATTCAGAGTATTCCTGGTATTCAGAATCCAGCCGTCGCATTGGTCACTGAGAGGTGCCATCTTTAACTTAACTTTAACTTCTTTAACTCCCACCCGTCTCCGCCCACTTCCCACCTGTCTCTGCCCACTTCCCACCCGTCTCTGCCCACTTCCCACCCGTCTCTGCCCACTTCCCACCCGTCTCTGCCCACTTCCCACCCGTCTCTGCCCACTTCCCACCCGTCTCCGCCCACTTCCCACCTGTCTCTGCCCACTTCCCACCCGTCTCTGCCCACTTCCCACCCGTCTCTGCCCACTTCCCACCCGTCTCTGCCCACTTCCCACCCGTCTCTGCCCACTTCCCACCCGTCTCTGCCCACTTCCCACCCGTCTCTGCCCACTTCCCACCCGTCTCTGCCCACTTCCCACCCGTCTCTGCCCACTTCCCACCCGTCTCCGCCCACTTCCCACCTGTCTCTGCCCACTTCCCACCTGTCTCCGCCCACTTCCCACCTGTCTCTGCCCACTTCCCACCTGTCTCTGCCCACTTCCCACCCGTCTCCGCCCACTTCCCACCTGTCTCCGCCCACTTCCCACCTGTCTCCGCCCACTTCCCACCTGTCTCTGCCCACTTCCCACCCGTCTCCGCCCACTTTCCACCTGTCCACCTGTCTCTGCCCACTTCCCACCTGTCTCCGCCCACTTCCCACCTGTCTCTGCCCACTTCCCACCCGTCTCCGCCCACTTCCCACCTGTCTCCGCCCACTTCCCACCCGTCTCTGCCCACTTCCCACCTGTCTCCGCCCACTTCCCACCTGTCTCTGCCCACTTCCCAGAATGCATTTGTTGGACAAATGTTGGATCCACATGTTTTTAAACCATGTATTTGTTTAATGTGTACAAAAATAAGTATTTGACAATTTACAAAAGTTCAACTCTATTCTCTCTGTCACCAAGTTCACACACACTGTAGCTAGTATTTTGGCCCATTCTTCACTGCAGAAGTTCTCTAGAGCTGTGAGGCTTTGGGTCTGGAGCCTGAGGCCGCAGCACCTGGAGATGATCCTGCAGACTGAGTGATGTGTTTGGACCACGTCAGCGCTGTCCCTGATGCTACAATTCACAAAACATTCATCTTTTCCTTCATACAGATGAGGCCCCTCTGCAGAAACGCAGCCCCAAACTATAGTGTTTCCACCCCCATGCTTCAGTGGTTTAGGTGTAACTGTAGTATCCTCTGACCATGGGACATTCTGGACCGGACTGTTCTGGACCGGACTGTTCTGGAGGATCATTAGTTCACCACCTTCACTGAAACATGGGGGTGGAAACATGAGGGGGTGGGGCTTCTTTTCTGCAGATGGGTCAGGTGTATGAAAAAAAGGGATGAAGGGGTCTGAGTCTGTGGAAGGTCTCGGTGGGGTCTGGGTCTGGGTCTGGTCTGGGTCTGGGGCTGGTCTGAGTCCTGCTTGGGTCCACAGGGGAGCGGTTGCCGAAGCCGGAGAGAGGAAAGATGAGAGTCCACTTCGTCAGCAACGTCAACAAAGCTCTGGACTTCATCGCCAGCAAAGGAGTCAAACTGGTGTCGATCGGAGCCGAGGGTAGGTCTACTCCACCTACTCCACCTACTCCACCTCCTCCATCTCCTCCACCTACTCCACCTCCTCCATCTCCTCCCACCTACTCCACCTCCTCCATCTCCTCCACCTCCTCTTCTGATAAATTCTTTACTAATCCATGTGAGATTCAGAACAACATCCAAACAAACAAAGTATCTAACAATGGTTTTAAAATGCAAACTCGACCCATTTCCTCTGCTCTGGTTCAGAGTGAAATGCTGAATGCTTGATGGTGTGACGTGGACCTGTTCCTGGTGCTTAAACAGGACTTCTGCTTCAGTCTTTGATCATTTCTTTTGTTGCATATTTATTATTTCCTGTTGTTTTTCGTAGAAATCGTCGACGGAAACGCTAAGATGACTCTGGGAATGATCTGGACCATTATCCTCCGCTTCGCCATCCAGGACATCTCTGTGGAAGGCAAGTCCGCACCAGAAACACTTATACACATGGTACAGACGCTGTGAGGCCCAGAGAGAGGCCCCATCCAGGACATCTCTGTGGAAGGCAAGTCCGCACCAGAAACACTTATACACATGGTACAGATGCTGTGAGGCCCAGAGAGAGGCCCCATCCAGGACATCTCTGTGGAAGGCAAGTCCGCACCAGAAACACTTATACACATGGTACAGACGCTGTGAGGCCCAGAGAGAGGCCCCATCCAGGACATCTCTGTGGAAGGCAAGTCCGCACCAGAAACACTTATACACATGGTACAGACGCTGTGAGGCCCAGAGAGAGGCCCCATCCAGGACATCTCTGTGGAAGGCAAGTCCGCACCAGAAACACTTATACACATGGTACAGATGCTGTGAGGCCCAGAGAGAGGCCCCATCCAGGACATCTCTGTGGAAGGCAAGTCCGCACCAGAAACACTTATACACATGGTACAGACGCTGTGAGGCCCAGAGAGAGGCCCTACCAGGACATCTCTGTGGAAGGCAAGTCTGCACCAGAAACACTTATACACATGGTACAGACGCTGTGAGGCCCAGAGAGAGGCCCCATCCAGGACATCTCTGTGGAAGGCAAGTCTGCACCAGAAACACTTATACACATGGTACAGACGCTGTGAGGCCCAGAGAGAGGCCCCATCCAGGACATCTCTGTGGAAGGCAAGTCCGCACCAGAAACACTTATACACATGGTACAGACGCTGTGAGGCCCAGAGAGAGGCCCCATCCAGGACATCTCTGTGGAAGGCAAGTCTGCACCAGAAACACTTATACACATGGTACAGACGCTGTGAGGCCCAGAGAGAGGCCCCATCCAGGACATCTCTGTGGAAGGCAAGTCCGCACCAGAAACACTTATACACATGGTACAGACGCTGTGAGGCCCAGAGAGAGGCCCCATCCAGGACATCTCTGTGGAAGGCAAGTCTGCACCAGAAACACTTATACACATGGTACAGACGCTGTGAGGCCCAGAGAGAGGCCCCAGAGAGAGGCCCCAGAGAGAGGCCCCAGAGAGAGGCCCTAGAGAGAGGCCCCAGAGAGAGGCCCTAGAGAGAGGCCCTAGAGAGAGGCCCCAGAGAGAGGCCCCAGAGAGACTGTGAGGCCCAGAGAGAGCCCCCAGAGAGAGTCGGTGTGAGGCCCCAGAGAGAGTAATAGTGTGTGTGTGTGTGTGTGTGTGTGTGTGTGTGTGTGTGTGTGTGTGTGTGTACAGAGACCTCGGCTAAAGAGGGGCTGTTGTTGTGGTGCCAGAGGAAGACTGCTCCGTACAAGAACGTGAACGTCCAGAACTTCCACATCAGGTACACACTTAACTACACACACTTCACTAAACACATTACACACACTTTACTACACACTACACACACTTTACTACACACGCTTTACTATACACTTCTCTACATACACTACACACTACACACACACTACACAACACACACTTCTCTACACTACACAACACACACTTCTCTACACACACTACACACACTTCTCTACATACACTACACACTACACACACTACACAACACACACTTCTCTACATACACTACACACACTTCACTACACACACTTCTCTACACAAACTTTACTACACAACACACACTTCACTACACACTTTACTACACACACTTCTCTACACACACTTCACTACACACACTTCTCTACACACTTTACTACACACACTTCTCTACACACACTTCTCTACACACACTACACACACTTCACTACACACACTTCTCTACACAAACTTTACTACACAACACACACTTCACTACACACTTTACTACACACACTTCTCTACACACACTTCACTACACACACTTCTCTACATACACTACACACACTTCTCTACACACACTACACACACTTTACTACACACACTTTACTACACACTTCTCTACACACACTTCTCTACATACACTACACACACACTACACAACACACACTTCTCTACACTACACTACACACACCACTACACACACTTCTCTACATACACTACACTACATACACTACACACACTACACTACACTTCTCTACACACACACTAGACACTTCTCTACACACACTTTACTACACACGCTTTACTACACACTACACAACACACACTTCTCTACACTACACTACACACACTTCTCTACACACACTACACACACTTCTCTACATACACTACACACTACACACACACACTACACTACACACACCTCTACACTACACACACTACACACACTACACACACTCTACACACTTCTCTACACTACACACACTTCTCTACACACACTACACACTACACACACACACACTACACTACACAACACACACTTCTCTACACTACACACACACTACACACACTCCTCCACACACACTTCTCTACACTACACTACACACACTTCTCTACACACACACTACACACACTTCTCTACACAAACTTTACTACACACTACACTACACACACTTCACTACACACTTTACTACACACACTTCTCTACACACACTTCTCTACACACACTACACACACACTTCACGACACACACTTCTCTACATACACTACACTACACTACATACACTACACTACACTTCTCTACACACACACTACACACACTTCTCTATACACACTACACACACTTCTCTACACACACACTACACACACTTTACTACACACTTCTCTACATACACTACACACTACACACACACTACACAACACACACTTCTCTACACTACACACACTTCTCTACACACACACTACACACACTTCTCTACACACACTTTACTACACACACTTCTCTACACACACTTCTCTACACACACTACACACACTTCACGACACACACTTCTCTACATACACTACACTACACACACTTCTCTACACACACTACACACACTTCACTACACACACTTCTCTACACACACTTCTCTACACACACTACACACACTTCACGACACACACTTCTCTACACACACTTCTACACACACACTTCTCTACACACACACTCACACACTTCTCTACACACACTTCACTACACACACTTCACTACACACACTTCACTACACACACTTCTCTACACACACTACACACACTTCACTACACACACTTCACTACACACACTTCACTACACACACTACACACACTTCACTACACACACTTCACACTACACACACTTCACTACACACACATCACTACACACACTTCACTACACACACTTCACTACACACACTTCTCTACACACACTACACACACTTCACTACTTCACTACACACACTTCTCTACACACACTTCTCTACACACACTTCTCTACACACACTTCTCTACACACACTACACTACACACACACACTACACACACTTTCACTACACACACTTCTCTACACACACTACTACACACTTCACTACACACACTTCTCTACACACACTTCACTACACACACTTCTCTACACACACTACACACACACACACACACACTCACACACACTCACTACACACACTTCACCACACACAAACTTTACTACACACACTACACTACACACACTTTACTACACACACTCTTCTACACACACTTCTCTACACACACTACACACACTTCACGACACACACTTCTCTACATACACTACACTACACACACTTCTCTACACACACACTACACACACTTCTCTACACACACTTCACTACACACACTTCACTACACACACTTCACTACACACACTTCACTACTACACACACTTCTCTACACACACTTCTCTACACACACTTCTCTACACACACTTCTCTACACACACTTCTCTACACACTTCTCTACACACACTTCTCTACACACACTTCTCTACACACACTTCTCTACACACACTTCTCTACACACACTTCTCTACACACACTTCTCTACACACACTTCACTACACACACTTCTCTACACACACTTCTCTACACACACTTCTCTACACACACTTCTCTACACACACTTCTCTACACACTTCACTACACACACTTCACTACACACACTTCACTACACACACTACACACACACTTCACTACACACACTTCACTACACACACTTCTCTACACACACTTCTCTACACACACTTCTCTACACACACTTCTCTACACACACTTCTCTACACACTTCTCTACACACACTTCTCTACACACACTTCTCTACACACTTCTCTACACACACTTCTCTACACACACTTCTCTACACACACTTCTCTACACACACTTCTCTACACACACTTCTCTACACACACTTCTCTACACACACTTCTCTACACACACTTCTCTACACACTTCTCTACACACACTTCTCTACACACTTTTCTCTACACACTTTTCTCTACACACACTTCTCTACACACTTCTCTACACACACTTCTCTACACACTTCTCTACACACACTTCTCTACACACTTCTCTACACACACTTCTCTACACACACTTCTCTACGCACACTTCTCTGCACCTCATCTGTACTGGCTTTGCTTGTATGCACCCACATGGTGTGTGTACTGATGGTGTCACTGATGGTGTTGCTGGTCCTGCAGCTGGAAGGACGGCCTGGCCTTTAACGCTCTGATCCACCGCCACCGCCCGGAGCTCATCGACTACGACAAACTGCGAAAGGTTTTTATTTCTACTTTTTAAACAAACTTTACCTTCAGCCACTTTAACACGGTTAGCACTCCACCTGCTGGCGGGAGTGGGAACTACACCACAGGCTGCCACTGTTAGATGTCTGTGTCTGTGTCAGAGTCTGTGTGTGTGTTAGTGTCTGTGTCAGAGTCTGTGTGTGTGTTAGTGTCTGTGTCAGAGTCTGTGTGTGTGTTAGTGTCTGTGTCAGAGTCTGTGTGTGTGTTAGTGTCTGTGTCAGAGTCTGTGTGTGTGTTAGTGTCTGTGTCAGAGTCTGTGTGTGTGTCTGTGTCTGTGTCAGAGTCTGTGTGTGTGTTAGTGTCAGAGTCTGTGTGTGTGTTAGTGAGGGTAAAGCCAGGTGCGTGTGTGTGTGTTAGTGAGGGTAAAGCCAGGTGTGTGTGTGTGTGTTTAGTGAGGGTAAAGCCAGGTGTGTGTGTGTGTGTTAGTGAGGGTAAAGCCAGGTGTGTGTGTGTGTGTTAGTGAGGGTAAAGCCAGGTGTGTGTGTGTGTGTTAGTGAGGGTAAAGCCAGGTGTGTGTGTGTGTGTTAGTGAGGGTAAAGCCAGGTGTGTGTGTGTGTGTTAGTGAGGGTAAAGCCAGGTGTGTGTGTGTGTGTGTTAGTGAGGGTAAAGCCAGGTGTGTGTGTGTAAAACTGTGTGTTGTTGCAGGATGATCCTCTGACAAACCTGAACAACGCCTTTGATGTGGCAGAGAAGTATCTGGACATTCCAAAGATGTTGGACGCAGAGGGTGAGTCAGGATCTGTGTGTGTGTTTATGTGTGTGTGCGTCTTGTTTTAACACCAATTCTGTTTGTATCTGTTTGTGCCCTGCATGCTGTTATAACCCCACCTCGTGTGTGTGTGCGTGTACGTGTGTGCGCGCCTGAGTGTGTGTGTGTGTGTGTGTGTGCGCGCCTGAGTATGTGTGTGATGATAGTGCTCTGCGTGCTGCTCTAACCCCACCTCCATGTGTGTGTGTCTGTGTGACACACAGGCTTTTGTTTTTCCCTCTGTGACTCTGTGATTTTGTGAGTCTCTCTTGCTCTGTTTGTCGCTCGCTATGTGTTTGTGTGTCTCTGTGTGTGGTTTGTGTTTCTCTCTCTGTGTGAGTGTGTGTGTCTTTCGCTGTGTGTGTTTCTCTGTGTGTGTGTTGTCCCTGTTGTAACCCACCTCCACATGTTGTAGACATTGTCGGCACGGCGCGCCCCGATGAGAAGGCCATCATGACTTATGTGTCCAGTTTCTACCATGCCTTCTCTGGAGCGCAGAAGGTACCCGAGCGCCCCCTAGTGTCCAGCTGCTGCCTCTACATCTGTCTCTGTCCTTTTCAGCACTGTCTTCCCTCAGGATCAACAGAGCAGAGCCCCAGGCCCACAACAGGTCTTCCACACAGACGGACCATGCTAACGCTAGCTCCAGCTGTTGTTCAAACTCGGTGACATCACGCTCGGCCAATCAGACCTGTCTTTAGAAAGGACTGTAAAACAAAACCAGACCTGGTCCACATGAGTCCTGTGGCAGCCGTGTGTTTGGGCCTGGGCTCTGCTCTGGTCCGCTGTGAGCTGGGGCCCCTCCTCTCGGTCCAGTATGCAGGCTGCGGTGTTAAATCTGACTCTCCTGTGTTTCCTCTCTGCGCTGTAGACATCGTGGGTACGCTGCGGCCCGACGAAAAGGCCATTATGACCTATGTGTCGTGCTTCTATCACGCTTTCTCTGGGGCTCAGAAGGTGAGCGTCTCCTGTGTCGGACTGAACTGTTTTACAGACGCACAAGACCCTCCCCCTGCTCCTTAGAGACATGTCAGACCCTCCCCTTCTTATAGACACATGTCAGACCCTCCCCCTGCTCCTTAGAGACATGTCAGACCCTCCCCCTGCTCCTTTGACACATGTCAGACCCTCCCCCTGCTCCTTAGAGACATGTCAGACCCTCCCCCTGCTCCTTAGAGACATGTCAGACCCTCCCCTTCTTAGAGACATGTCAGACCCTCCCCCTGCTCCTTAGAGACATGTCAGACCCTCCCCCTGCTCCTTAGAGACATGTCAGACCCTCCCCCTGCTCCTTAGAGACATGTCAGACCCTCCCCCTGCTCCTTAGAGACATGTCAGACCCTCCCCTGCTCCTTAGAGACATGTCAGACCCTCCCCCTGCTCCTTAGAGACATGTCAGACCCTCCCCTGCTCCTTAGAGACATGTCAGACCCTCCCCCTGCTCCTTAGACACATTGTCAGACCCTCCCCCTGCTCCTTAGAGACATGTCAGACCCTCCCCTTCTTAGAGACACATGTCAGACCCTCCCCCTGCTCCTTTGACACATGTCAGACCCTCCCCTTCTTAGACACATGTCAGACCCTCCCCCTGCTCCTTTGACACATGTCAGACCCTCCCCCTGCTCCTTAGAGACATGTCAGACCCTCCCCCTGCTCCTTAGAGACATGTCAGACCCTCCCCCTGCTCCTTTGACACATGTCAGACCCTCCCCTTCTTAGAGACACATGTCAGACCCTCCCCCTGCTCCTTTGACACATGTCAGACCCTCCCTTCTTATAGACATGTTAGACATAGGACAGAGGGCCAGGTGAGAAGACCAGGTGAAAGGA